GTACATAAAATTGGAAAAAAGGAGCATATAGAAATATTACTTGTTTTCAGAATGTTGTTCAGACAGTAAATAAAGTTTCAGATGTTTCGAGAAGTTGAACGCATTGAGATCTTCAAGACGAGTAGGGATATTGTCTCAGAGTATAGTCGCTGTAAAAGCAATTGTTTGTTTACCAGAATTGGTACGCACTTTACATGATATGTATAGATTTTGTCCAGATGCATATCTGGTGTAGTATCCATGTACTTCACTGGCGTATTGAAAGAAATCGTGGAACAAGCTTGGTAGTAGGCCTTTGTGCCAAGAATGCGTGAATTTCAGAGCTTGTAGTCTATAAACATTATTTACTACTGTAATGCATTGTGCTAATTTACTCCTCTTGTTCAAAGTGTCAACTTGGTGTTTTACCACTCGGGACTGGAAATGACTTATCAAGAGTTCTTGGGTGGGGAACATCATTTGATGACGACAATGCAGTGACGCAGTTTCTCCAACATCTTGAGAGAGCAAAGGCAGCAGTGCTTGACAGGTAGGTCAAAGTCCAGAGAGACACATCATATGATCGTTATACGATGCTGATCTGTACACTTCTTTTTGTAGATGGAGTATTATGATAGAGGAGCGGCCCTTGTCGGCGTCTAGAAGTTCATCGATAGAAACACTTGATACGCCAGTAAGTCTTTAATTTGGTGTAATTCTTTGTGTGAAAACACTCATCTCTAGTTTGGTACCCGTACCGTCTCTTCTGAGATAGGTATGTGAAATTCGATATGAAAAATTCCATCCTGATGATGCTACACTTTAAAGGTCCATGTTCTGACTGCGATTGGCTGTTTTAAAACTCAAGAGAGAAAGAAGCACAGAAGTTTATTGTCACAAAAGTTTGATTTAATAAGTTAAGAGATCTTTGTAGAGGTTGCCATTATTGTGGAATGGAGTACTCAAAGAATGCCTTCTGTGTTTTACGTAGCATAGTAAATGGTTTGAACCCAGGAGTATCAGTAGTTCGTATAGTGTGATCGTCCGGGTGAGTGTAGTTTTGAAAAGAACTGTTGTTGGTGACTGACGTTTCGACAACCCGAGCGGAAGTCATCTTCAGAGTCAAGTGAATAGTGTTTGTCAGTCGATGATGTTATAAGTCTGGTCCGTTGAACGTGATTGGTCAGTATAGCCATGATGGTATTGGCTGAAAGACTCGTGTAAAGTTTGTCATCAGTCATTGGTTCAATGAACATCGGTTCTTTTCAGAACTACACTCACCCGGACGATCACACTATACGAACTAGTGTTTTACGTAGTTGGAAACATGGGACAGCCCCTTCCCCCCTTGCCAGAGTTGCTCCCCGCTCCCCNCCCCCCCCCCGTTTGGTGGAGGAGGTGTTTCCAAGTTCAGTTTCGGAGCTCTCGTTTTTATGTCAATTTTTTTTGGTATTTATCAGTACAGACATGAAGTCGACATGATGGACACATTCGAGAATAACGTTGCAACACATTTAACAAGAATTTTGAATTCCAGTGATCATTCTGTCGTCATCTCTTCCGCAAGGTAGAAAAAATTACTTTCTAGATAATAATTATTTAAATCTGAAGAACCAGTTTCAGCAGTTAAGAGTTTTATTGTAGCATTTCAAATTTAAGACGTCGTTTGGAAACATCAGAAGGATCAAGTAGTCTAATTAAACAGATATAGTTGCTCGTGCCAGGAGTGATCGACTGCAAATTTCCTCTTATAATATCAACCCAATGTCAAGCAAACAAGTGGTGAGAATCAAGACCGAAATCATCAACAAGGAAATGTTGTCTTAATTGATGTATTAGCAAATTCTCCGCACTGACTTTCAAGGAAAAAACGTAGCGATCACTAAGAATGAAGAGTCAATATTTGAACGTTTCATGTTTGCTTGTTTCGTTTTTTCCCTAGAGTCCTATGTGAGACAGTCAAGGATTTTGTGTCCAAGGTTGGTAGTGCATCAGCTACTTCTGATCCGTCTGAGGCCGACGATCCAGATTCCCTGGCACAAAAGGTTAGCACAAGTGTTTAGCATCGTCACAGTGTGTTCTGAGCACTTGCCTCACTTTGTCTTTTACATAGCATCGTTTTATCACTCTTGAATTTCTGTTGACGCCAAGGACTGAGTTTTGATGCATAATTTTGTCAGGTGCATCCTCCAAGGAGCTTTGTTAGCGAGTGTAAAGTCAGTTACAAATTATAAAAGAAGCCACGAAATTATGCTTTAGTAAGGTAGAACAACACCATAACACCAAGGAGGTGATGATAAATCAGAAATGAAAAAGAATGGTTAAGATAAGGCAAGATTGAGACGACTCCCGAACGATGGACTAGCCTTAAAATTTTTCGAGGCGCCGTCATAGACAGATTTGCTTTAATTTATGGTGATTATTTATTACCTGCGCCACATTTGTTTTAGTGGACTTAGTGCAATAAACGCTATTACAGCTGCAAACTAACTAGACTACGGGTAGTTCCTCTTTCGCTCAGTCTGTCGAGGGTGACCGTAAATAAACCGCGAGGAAAACATGGC